CAGATCGGTACATCGCTAGCCTCACATTGCCGGATGGGCGGACCGTGACTACAAACGACGGCATATGTGAGGCTTTCCAAGCTCACTTTCAGGAGCTTTTTACCAGGGAGCACGGTCTGAGTCCGACTCAGTTCGCCGCCTATTTGGCCGACTTTCCTCGCCTTGAGGCGACTGAAGCGGCTGGGTGCGATGGCCCGATAACAGAGGAGGAAATCTGGGACGTGTTGAAGTATGTCGGTCGAGACAAGGCTCCGGGTATCAATGGAATTCCTTTTGAAGTGTACTTGAGGTAATCGCACGTGTTTGTCCCTCTGCCGGCACTGATATTTAATCAACGGACGAGGAACGGGAGTATTCCCGAACGCTTCACCAGAGCTGTGATCAAATTGCTGTGCAAGGATAAACACAGAGGGGAAGGGATTAATAACTTCCGGCCCTTAACTATGTTAAATACAGAGTTAAAGATTTTGGCCAAGGTCTTCGCTAACCGTTTGCCGGCTGTCCTACCTAGTCTGATTGGCCCTGAGCGGACTTGTGCTGTGAAGGGTAGGACTATTCAGGACAATCTGGCGCGCTTGATCTTAGAACAAGTCGACAGTGAAGCCACGCTGATCAATTTCGGGCCGTACTTTCGATCCTGGATTCGCCTCTTGTATAGTTCCCCCGGTGCGATGGTAGAGGTGAATGGAGTGATGTCAAAACCTTTCATTTTGTTCAGATCCATTCGTCAAGGTTGCCCGCTCTCGCCGACGCTGTACGTTCTTGCGTTGGAGCCCTTCTTGCGCAAGTTAATGGCGAATCCGGTCCTGAAAGGAATTACCCTCCCTGGTTCAAACACGTCAGCCAGGTATTCTGCCTATGCCGATGATGTCAATGCTTTGGTGAAAAGCAAGGCCGAGATTCGTGAAGTTGGCAAGGAAATAAGCAGGTATGAGGAGGTGACAGGAGCCAAAGCAAATCGCGACAAATCTATCGGGTTGCGTTTGGGTGCGTGGAAGTGTGTTTCTCTTCTCGGGCCCTTTACTTGGACGGACGGGCCTCTCAAGATACTCGGCGTCTGGTTTGGCCCCGATCTCCAGTTGAAAAAAAATTGGTTGGAGGTTCGAGAAAAGGCCGAGGCTGCAGCTAGTCTGTGGGCTCGGATGAGGCTTTTCTTAAAGGGTAGGGTGGAAGTTTGTGCCTCGCAAATCTACCCCATCCTTCTTTACCGGCTCTCGGTACTTCCACTGCCGTCCGCCGACCTAATTTTATTAGTGCGAGTCTTGTTCAACTTCTTGTGGGCTGGCAAGTCTCCTGCGGTGCGTCTGTTGCCTTCACCCGTCTGAGGGCGGTCTAGGGATGCCCGACGTTGAGATTCGTCAAAAGACGTTGGGGCTCAAGTTCCTGGATCGAATGTGTCAACAAGATGAGGGTAACGCCCTCTTCTGGAAGGAAGACGCTAAGAAAGCAATTCCGTCTTTGAGAAGTGTGCATGAAGGCGAGGAGGAGGCCCGCCGTACTCCTCGGGCCGAATGCTCCTTCTATCGCGAGTGTCGACGCGCTCTGAAAGACTTTACACGGGTTAAGGAAGGCCTCTCCAATACCCGACTGTTGTCTCCTAAGGCATTATATCGGGTGTTAGTGCGGGGGGGGGGGCGCTCGAGATACTCTAAGGGATGAGCTCGGTTTGACGAGGGAGGAGTTTAACTGTGTGCGCTGCGGTGGGGCGGTTGAGACCTTGGGGCACATCTTCGACTGCAGCGTCGTTCGGCCGTTGTGCAATCTGATTGAGGGCTACATGGTCCGCGCCTTAGGAGGAAAGTCATTTGTCCTAGAAGCCAGATCCGTATGTAGCAATGTTGTGCCACAGTTGAAGAGGAATGAACACTATGTGTTCATGTGTTTACTCGGCATTATGCGAGTCGTGATTTGGACGACGCGACAGAAAGAAGTTCATGGAGGTGAGAAGTTTTCCTCTTCTCAACTGGTTTTGTTTCTTAAGCACCAGCTTATAGTCAAGATTAGAGCAAAAAGGAGGCGACTCTCTTCATCGTAATTCGGCGAAAGGTGGTTGAATGCTTCGCGTTTGGTTCGCTTGATAGGGGCTAATTTAGAGTGGTATTTGGAGGTGACATAGGCTTAAGGATATTGGTCGCCTGACTTAAAACATTTGTCATGTAGGAATAAGTTAGAGTCAGCCTTTTTGATTTTGTTTAATTCGCTTGTGTGTTTTTTTTTTTTAACTTGGCTAGTGTGTGAATGGCCTCTTTATTTTTGTCCTCCAACTTTTAGTTCATTCCCCCTTCCCTCCCCATTTAGATGACAGAATTTGCAGTTCTCTGGTTCAACTGTGGAATACATTTCGTTTTCGAATGTGTAATTTCGTTTATTTCCGCAGTATTTTTCGCCTAGTTAACTCTCATCTCTGCCATGTTTAGATTGTGGGGAATCGTTTACTAACACTAGTTTTGTTTTATTGTGTAAATAATCTTATATAACGAACATTGGGGATTCATTGTTTATTACCCCACCCCATAAAGCTGTATATATATGGGGATTAAGTAGAATTTCCTTGAGTGGATGTGGTATTGTGGTGTATGTGTATGGCAGTGTTGTGTGGATGAGATGTTTTGGTGAAAGAAACAATATTTGGACGATTGGGTCAGTAAATGAGGCTAGCTAAGTTAGAAGTAAGCCAGTTGAAGACCAGCCTCCCCCCCCCACATTCCAATTCCAGGCTGCTCAGCCCAGAGGCTAGGATCAAAGTGTAGTACGCTACCTTTGTGAGCTTCCGGGGCCTCGTCGAGAGAATACTCTTCGGCGTGATCCAGTTTCCGCGTTCGATCCGCCCTGGAAGACGTATTGCCTCTGACCCAGCTTCGTCTAGTGCTACCCTTCGGCGCGATCCCGATTCCGCGGTTGATCCACCCTGGAAGGCGTAAAACTACTCCGACTCGGCCCTGTTTAGGGATTTCGCCTACGTCTAGTGCTACCCTTCGGTGCGATCCCGTTTCCGCGGTTGATCCGCCCTGGAAGGCGTAACATTACTCTGACTCGGCCCTGTTTAGGGACTTCGCTTCCGTCAAGTGTTACACGCATACGTGGTTGATCCGCCCTGGAAGTTGTATCACTATACTGACTCGCCCTGCGCTGGTGGTATCACGGCTATGTCTAGGTTGGACCGGCTCGGGCCTGGACCAGCTATGACAAGCCAAGACCAGCTATGACTAGCTTAGACCAGCTTGGACAAGCTATGACTAGCTATGACCAGGTTAGACCAGTGGCCCGAGTGTTTCTACTCGGGTTTCCCACGTTAAAACTGACCTTGTGTCACATCCTGACTCAGTGGGGCGTCAAGTAAATATTTATACTGACTCGGCCCTGTTTAGGGACTCGTCCTAACCGATCCAACGAATTTTCGTGCGTCTTCGACCAACCAGTTACTGCCAATTCTCCAATCTGGAAGTCGACCAGCTACCGCCGCCGACCAACTCTACAGTCATTTCGCGGATACTACCGAATCAACTTCCCCTGAAGGCAACCAGTCAGTCATACCGGACCCGACACCGATAAAAACATATTTCTCCAGAGTACACTCTTGTACATTTTGGATAAATAAAATAGACGTTATTGTTTCTTAAACCTCTGCTTTTGTCCCCTCATTGTCGTAGCTATTCACACCTTTCTTCATAAAGCTTGCGGGGGCGACATCCTTATCGGCCCCGCAACAAGTGTTTCTTTCAGGTTGAAATTATGTTAAGGAACTAAAAGCCTAGAACTGTGTGACAAGTTCAAAGGATTCTGGTCGGCTCATTGTCGAGGATAAATGACGTTTCATATTTATTGCTAACTTTGGTCACGTGGTAGGCTCAAAGGGGATTGACAGATTTTGGCGGAATTATTTTTTGGTCAAGTCAAGAACTAAGTCGACGTTATTCGGACATGGTTTAAATATTAAGTGACCAATCAGAAGTTGAAATTTTCTGAAAATATGTATTAAGCTGAATAAGCTCTATGATCCACTTTTTGCACAGAAATCGACATTGATATTTGGGCATGAATTAAATATTAAGTGACCAATCAGAAGTTGAGATTTTCTGAAAATATTATGAAGCTGGGTAAGCTCTGTGATCCACTTTTTGCACAGATTTGTACAAAATTCAACATTGATAAGAAAATGGTAGCGGGATGCTAAACGCTCGTCAACGGCCTCAACTGCATGCAACCAACCGCTTCTGGCATCTACAAAGCATAGCAGTCATTTCTTGTCGCAATGCCAATCTTCTGAATTCTTCGGCATCTTACCCTTTGATTTTTGAGTTCCGAATCTGCTTAGATTTGTTTTCGACGGAACTCTCTTCAACTTTAATAATTTGCATTTCCTTTCCTGATTTGTATCGTTAATTTTCCAAGAATAAATTTTGGCTTATTTTATTTGAATTCTTCGTTTTGTGTTGTCCTTGCCTTTGATATGTCAGATCATTGACTTCTTATTTTTAAATTGTTAGCGGACACGTCTGATTAATGCCACAGGCCAGTGTTTCCGCTACACGCTCTCACGTCATAAAATCAATATGCTGAATCGAATCCAGGGACTTTGATCAAATTGTAGTATATATTCTGCAGCCTTGACCAGCTATGACCAGCTATGGTTAAGGTTGTAAGCGGGGGTTGGGTAAATTGTGACCAGTGGCCCGAGTGTTCGCGCTTGTTCCCTCGTTAAATAACTGACCTTGTGCCGCATCCTGACTCAATAGGTCGTCTTTGGTAAATACTGAAGACGAATACTCGGCCCTGGTGAAGAAGATAATTGTGCAGTATCTGTTCCAGCAGCAGCAGTAGCCGACATTGTCAATACCAACTTCAGCTGCCCTGCCTGACTTCAACTTACCACATCTTTGCCGGGACAACCTAAGTCTTCTCTCAGCTATATGATATATGATAATTAACTGTCATTTTCAGGACCTTCGCTGCATGACATGCTGTCCTTTTCAGGACAAACTCGTAGACATTCTCGCCGCATGATATGCAATGATCAATTGTCTCCATACTGTCCTTTCAGGACAAACCTAAGTTTCTTCTCTGCTGCATGGTATGTGACAATCAGCTGTCCTTTTAAGGACAAACTTAAGTCATTCTTCGCTGCACGATATGCTGTCCTTTTCAGGACAAACTCATTTTTTTCTCGCTACATGAAATGCGATGATCAACTGTCCTTTTTAGGGCAACAGTCTTTTACCAACCCACTCGTCGATTCAGGCTTCACTGCCCTGCATGCCAATCATCTCGTGGATCATAGTGGTTTCAAACCAACTCGACACACTGACTGCTTACCGACCTTTGTAACTACCCAAGCTACTCCGGTTTCATTATCAGACTACAAACTGTTGGTGCATCTAGGATCAAAAGTTAACTCCCAACACGACCAACCAAGATATTTAAAACATCTGTACCCTTTGTTCCTTTTAAAAATTTGGTCTTTTTTTAAAAAATCTAAATACCTTGTTCTAGTGATCCTTACCTTGGTCGGTGTCGTTTCTTCATTTTTACTGTTTGCGGTGATCATCTAACATAAATACCTGGTACTCGCAACAACATGAATCCACCAATATCGTTTACAGAACAAATGTACCATGGGCCTGTAGGGGGTAGGTACTACATATATTTATCTTTTGACTAGGAAAAGCGTGATTAAGGACAATGCGTGGACGCAATGCAATTTATATTTGACGTAAAATAGCACATAGTATAAAATACAAGACAGAATGTAATGGTTCAAAACATAACAATTGAATTTATTAGTGTTTTGGTGTACATGCATATAAGCTGAAGGTTTGAATGGGTTATGTCTCTTAGATTTGGAAATATTTGTACCTGAGCTCATAAAGATGAAGTAATTATTAAACTGTAGTTTAGAAGAATAAAGTTCCTGTTGCATGTTAGGAAAAGTGAATTGGTAAAGTTGGTAAGAGTTCAGAAGAGTTAAGAGTTCGTACTTGCGTGAATGTTGTAATGTTCTTTAACGTCTGACTGCATGGTCAAGACGGGAGTTCTTGAAGATTACATCTTGGCAGCAAGGATTAAAATGAATGAAAAGAGAGAGAGAGAGAGAGAGAGAGAGGGAGAGAGAGAGCAAGAGAGAGCGAGAGAGAGAGCTTACTTGTGTTTTGTTTATATAAGATGGTGCATCACGTGACTGGATCAAACCTTAGTGAGCGGGAAATTTCATTCCTCGCGTGCAGGATATCTGATTGGTCGGAATTGACCAATCAGCGAGCTAGTTTTGAGGAAATTAACCAATAAATGCTTGTTGCATGATTTGTATGTATGTGATGATAATTACGACAGGGGAAGAGTGCATTTTCCGCGGATGGTAACTGGCAAATGTGGAAGATTCCACAAGCCCATAAATATTTACTGAAAAATGTTCACACTGCTCCGAAACACCTGCTATTTTTAACCCATAGCCAGGAAGAGATTGAGAAATCTTTAAGGAACCTGAAACCTAATCCTAAACAGGAAACAAGGGATAAATCTCTACTCCTTTTCAAAAGACCGAGGAGGAGTGTGAACTGGCTTTTGCACAAATAATGCAAAGGTGAATGTCACGACCTTGATCAGAATTCACTGAATTTTTCTAAAGTGTTGTATTATACAACTGGAATAAGTAATATTTTTAATTAATTTTATACGAAATAATTTTCATAGAATAAGAAATATGTACCTCGCTTTTCAAGGGTACACGCCACTAATTATTAGTAGATGTTTAGTTTATCCATGCGCCCACATCTCACAAAATTTGACACAAGGTAAGTAAACTAAACAAATTTCAGCCCTTTATGGCCGGTTTCGATTGTACCAAACTGAACCGGAAAATCTTTTTTTCCCTTTTTTTCTTACGCAATTAATGTTGAAATATTAGACGAATCGGAATTTGTGTTACAAATTAAATGAGCCAATCAGAAGGCGTGTTTTATAAAGATACACTCTCTACTCTGTGTTCTGCCATGTGCGTATAGCGAGAGGGTGGACTACAAGCCTTCAGTCGTCACAGGTAAAAAGAAAATCCTTCTCTTAAAACGTTCCCCTTAAATTATATATTTCAAATAGCATTTTAATTAAAAGAATATTTTTTCTTAATAATCCCAAAATATTTAAAAGAAACTTTTTTTTCCTAAATTAAGTTTCCGTATTTTTTTTATATTACGATTTAATTTTTTCTCTTCATTTTTTTTTCTTGATTAATGTTTTTTTTTTTTTTTTAGAGTTCAGCAGAGTCTTAGCTATTTTCTTTATAAATATTGAAAATTATGCTTTTCTATTTATAAAATTTTCCATCTTAACAAGAAGAAAACATTTGATGGTGATAAGCTTTTTAAAGTCACCTTTAAATGCGAAGTGCTGTAATTATTTTTAAAAAGTGACTGGCTCAATGGTAGAGTATGGGTTAGAATTCCATTCATTATTTCTGTGTAAATATTTGTTGGCGAATTCGTTTATGTACTAATTTATTTGAGACCTTATCTTTACTAGAACACTTAAGCTTTTAAAAATTATTTAGCTCATGTCGAAGAAAACATCTTAAAAAGAAATTGCGTATTCAGTATGTTACAGGCCAATTAAAATTAAAATAATTCTAGCATTTGCTGACAAACAATTTTAGTTTTTAAAAATGACTTTGTTTTAAATAAAAATATTTTTCCTCATTTTATCAAATTCCAGAACACAGATTTTATTTTTGATAATTCTTTTGTAGTCAGTTTTGATTCTTTTTTATTTTTTGTGTATCTTTGTAATTAAAAGAAATAGCTTCTATTGTGACTATCATTTCTGCAAATTCACATGTTTTTAATTAACATACAAAAAAATGCAACATAATGTTGCATTTTTCAATCATCTCTAGGTCACTGTGTCACATTTTTCTTATTACAGGAATAAATAAATAAAAAAGCCCTCCCCAAGCATTATTATTAGTATCCACTTGAAGGTAAAGTTCTGTAGCTGAGAGGGTGTAATGTAAATGAATATCATGTTTTTTTTTTTCTTTTTGTCTATGGTGATAAAGCCTTTTAAGGGATTTTTCACCTGAGCAGTTATTTTTAGGCTTCCCCCGGTTTTAAAAATGAAAGTGTCTACAACACTCTGCTTCATATTTGCTGAAAAAGTAAATTTCTCAAAGACAATCAACAATTTGCTTTAGCACAAAACGATAGAAAACAAACAAAAAAAGCATTATTTTTTTATTTGTTTCGAACAGAATTTAGCGAGAACACCTAGCTTAAAAAAAAGTAAACCAAACCAAATCATTTTGCCGGGAAAATAAATAAATATATATATATATATATATATTTATATATTATTCACACGGCAAGGTATCTTGCTTGAAATTAATGAAATTCTGTTATACTGTAGTTTTATACACCTGGTGGTGTGTATAATAATTTTATTATTTTAGCAGTCTTGTTAAATTTAACGCTTCAAACGTTTTCTGCATAGCAAACATTGATTTACCTCCCTTAAATTACGTTTATTTTATTTATTTATGGGCTCTCTTTGAATTTGTTGAAAAGTCCTACATCAGAGAACTAATCGAAAAATTTGCGCCAGGAATACAAAATAATTGATTTCAACAACAGTTTTTCTTGTAAGTAAAGTGAAGAAAGAAAATGCATGTATAATTCAATTTACATGGAAAGTTGAAGATATTATCGGAAAAAAAAAAAAAAAACCTCACAGAAAGCAGAAAATAAATGAAATGATGTCTTTCTAGTTTTGATTCCTGGGTAACATTTTTTTTTTTTTTTACACACAATCATTTTTTTTTTTTTTTTAAGTATGAAATGAAAATAAAAAATGTTATTCATTTTAGTTTGTATTCTTCGTCTTCATGGCGTCAGCGATCATGGCTCTTCACAACTTCCTCTCTTGCTCCTAAGTAACCTTTTTTATTATTTACCATCCCTGTTTGTCCTTGCTCTCTCATCCGTTCACATTAAGTTAATCAGGTTACTCTATTTTCCTGTGCTTTTCTTGCTTTCTATATGCCCTGTGAGTGTTAAATTCTCCAGATCTTCTTTGCTCATATAATGAATCCCATAAATTTCAAATGCCACTTTCTGATTGTAAGTATAAGTTTCTTTGTAGATCCTGTTTTCCTTTCAACTTCCTTGTTGCTCATATGTTTTGGCTATGGTATTTTCAGAATTTGTTAGAACAGCTACATTATAGCTTTAAGTCTCTTCATCATTACTGCTCTAAATGATTTCTGCATGACAAACATTTTAATTATCTACCAAGGACTCAGAATATGAGGCTAGTTTAAAAAAAGTAGGCAAATCCATGTTTACAGAAATCATTTGAAGTGCTAAACATATATTTGTCCTTTAACTCTTAAATGGCAGGTATCATCAATTGATAATTTAAACATTTCTTAATGATGTGGGCATCATTCATTCATGATTACTTGTATTATTCTGACAGTTATCTTCATCGTCATATTCACAATGTTTCAACTGTTGTACGCTCTGGTCTTCTTCAGGTGATGAGAATTTTGAAACTGAACTCTTTAGATTGTTCTAGTTCCACATGCCATGCCTCTTCCGGATGTCTCAGTTATTTCCCTTTAACTCAACTCTCTAAGTATTTGGTTCACTGCTGTAGCCTGGTATTGAACTCACAACTTTTTGGGTTTAGTCACTGGATCTATTTAAAGTCTTTATCCACTGGGCTATGTGTCCTCGAGGCAATGAAGATGAGGATAACATAGTATAAATAATGCAAGTAATCATAATACCTCATCTCGGAGATATACTGTAATTCCACATGTATAGTATGCATTTTTTTCTAAAAAATAATAAGCAAAATTAGGTGTGCGTATTATGCACAGCTACAAAAAAATCTTTAAAAAATTGCAGTTTCATAGGTTGATTTCAGTTGTGAAATGATTACTCACCACAAACATATGACAATTTGACACTAACATTCGGCAATTGTGACCCCAAATAGAATCTCATGTTCCTACCAATATTTACAAATGTAAATTATCATAAAACTAAATTAGAATAATATTCTGTTTCAAACCATTTTTTTGTGAAAAAAAACTACATACAGATCCACTAGATTGCACATTTTATCAAACAAAAACAGGTTAATGTGTGCAGTAGACACAGTATAGGTATTTCTGTTTCCTTTTAAAATTACAGCTTGAATAAGAGTAGAAAACGCTGGCCATAATGAAATTGGAGAGGTACAATTTATAGGGTTTGATTACCAAACAAGAGGTGTGAGTAGAAGTATTTTCCCATTCTTTCTGCACAATTTTATGGTTACGTATTATAGGAAGAAGGCGTATTGTACATAGTGAATTATGGTAGACGGCTATTCATTCATGATTTCAGTCTAAATGACAAATTGACAGCACTAGGAGTCAGAAGATTATTATTTACTTGGATGATTCATGAGATTATGTCACTTTCCTGAATGCCTGCATGCATAGATGTAACTTCCACTTGATCAGCTTTCCCCATGAAACTCTGCCCTGTGGAACCGACTCCAAAGAGGATACTTTCTTGGCCTGTTCAAATCTAGGGTTAACTATTATCTTCTACACATATCTCTATAGACTGTGCCTCTGTAACCCTCTACCTCAAGGGGCTCCCGGGCCTTGTACAGGATGAACAACATTGTGTTTAAAAAAAAATAAAAAAGATACAAAAATAGCAACAACTTTGTACAAACTATACACAACTCCACTGTGCATATTAGGGCTCAAAATTAATGTCATCCTGTCATTCAGGACATGATAGAACATTAAAGTATCCTTATTTTTAATTTCACTCAAAGTTGTTTTCTGTTGCCATAGCAGGATATGACAACACATCTATGAAATGAGGTATTATGTACATTGTTTACATTATTTGGACTTAAGGACACATGGCACAGTGGATAAAGGCATTAGTTAGATCCAGTGACAGGACCCAGAGAGTGTGAGTTCAATACCTGCTTAAGGCAGTGGAGAACTTGGAGAGGGGAATTAACAGGAGATAACTGATAACTGACATCCATTAGACATGGCATGTGGAACTAGAACAGCCTACCCCAGTGAGCGAAATAAAGGGTTCAGTTCAACATTCCAACCACCTGAAGAAGGCCGGAGCGTACAATGGCTGAAATGTGATAAATATGGCAACAAACATGAGGACAATAGTCTGAATAATGTAAATAGTGTATATCTATGAAATTCAAACATTCTGTTGTTCAGAGATCAGTCACCTTCAGTGGCAGGATAAACTTTTTGTACAGCAAATGAAGTCACATACACAGTAATAAAGATTTATTAGTATTCTCTTGTATTTATTTTGAAAGCAAATAATTTTTTGCCAATAGTGATTGGCTTATAATAGATGGAACATGCATGCACATTTTCTGCTCATCATAAACTAAATTGAAATACTTAGCTGTCTGCTGTGAATCCATTCATAGCTGTCCTACTCAGGGAAAGCACTGAACAATTGGTGGAGCAGTTACTGCAGGGGCATGAATTGATTGATGTGATTTTTACAACTTATCAACCCAAAATAAATTTTGAGTTGTAGGAGGATGTTTACAGTACTCGTATTCCTAAGTGGTCTTGCTATGAAATACTGATTGGACTCAACACTGCTTAACTGGAAGATCAAACAAGAACCACTGTTTTCAGTATGATTTAGAGTAATGGAGAGTGGCTCGGATTGAAGAATTGGTGTGCCAAGTTTGAAGTTGAATTTGTTATGTTCACTTACGTGCAAATACCGTTAGAAAAGGTATGAATCCATTGATCCTATAGGTAAATAGCAGGCGAGACTGGGTCCTGTAGCCTTGGGTGGCAATCAGTCTAGGAGAAGGACAACTCTGAATTCAAAACCTTCACCTAGAGGTTAAATGGCTTCACTGACCTGCAATTGACCAAGCATGGTGAGTATGGCTACACACCTAAAATCATGGTCAATTGGGGTGAGTGGTTGTTATATTAATCAAAACAAGATTTTTATTAAACATTTTAATGGTGTTTTTATTCTGCTACTACTAACACTAAACAATGATTAAATTTATTTTGGGTGCTTTAAATTGACCTTTTTTTTCTTTTTTTTTTTTCAGCCTACATGACTCATTATTTTTGTTCACCACTGTATTTGTGTGCATGTCTATCTCATATATATATATATATACACACACACACACACTTCAGTTCAGAAGTTTGAGACAATCTCTGGTAATTTTTTAAATTGGCCCAAAAAGTAGTTGTTTTGTACTTTAAATAAGAGAAAATTATTATATATGGTTAAAAAAATAAATGAGACGTGATTTTTTTTTTTTTTTTTTATTATGGCAAAAAGAATTAAAAGCATTTTATGATTAAATTTTGCTCTCAAAATATCCTCGTTTTGCCTGCAGCAGTGAATTTGGGGATTTGTTGCAAAAATTTCTCAAGGTATAAGTTTAATAATTGATTCCATTATTTTTTTTTTTTTTTTCCAAAGACTCTAACATGCTAATTCTGGGCGTGGCTTCAAACTTTTGAACTCTGTGTAATATATATATATATATATATATATATATATATATATATATATATATATATCTCGTTTATATGTTATTATTATAGATACAAATATTTAAATAAATGCTGTTTATAATAAACAGTATTAACAACATTTACTGGACTGAATGCCTGAGAAATCTCATAGAAAATATGTCTTCTGACAGAAATAGAACCTGTATCCTACACAAAACTGTCATATAGCCTGAGGTGCTATACCATTTAGCTATAGAGGAAGAATCTGGTTAACAAAGTCAAATTACTGTTTTTAAGCAACAAACTTCCTATGATTTCTCTTAAATGATCATATCTACCAGAAGCATATCTTAATGTAAACAAATGACATCATATATTATGAAATGGACAGAGTCCGACAATTATTTTAATATATTTTCTGTTTATAAGTTATTTTTATAGATACAAATATTTCAGTAAATGCTCTGTTTATAATAAACAGTATTAATTACATTTACTGCCCTGAATGTCCGACGGTTCTTACTCAAAAGCCTGTAGAATAATTTGAAACCTAACTGTTACTGCCTACTCAATAACTGTTTGGTAATACAGTAGGCCTCATGACTGATAATGCAATATTAAGCAGTATATATAGTCGAGCCAAAACACAATACACTTGGCCTGAAGAATGCAATATTTGACCTTAGTGTTCAATTTCATATTTACATATGATGTATCTATGATATTGAGCACTTTCACCCATAAATATAGCATACCTTAAAACTATATTTTTATCATATGTGGTTATATATGTATTTCTACATGTATATGAATATATGTGTATGTGTATTTACGTAAATATGTATGTGGTGTGTGTATGTAAAAACAGTAAATTCTTTTATTATTACCTTCAAATCTTACTTCATCTTGATTTGAAACTTAAACTTTAAGAAATATTACTCATCTAAAAATAGCTTCAGATTAAATTGATGAATTAGACTCTAACCAATAAAGATTTTTCCTTTAACTGTCATTCACAATATTAAAATATTACTTTTAGTAAATTTTTAATTTTATATTTGTTTATTAATATAATATTCAATTTATATTAAATCCCTAATTTATTTGTGGAGAAGTTAAATATTTAAATTGCTATCAAGCATTGAATCTAGTTTATTTGTAGAGTTTTTAAACATTTAAATTACTATCGAACGTTAAGATCTGTGTTTATCTAAATTGCCCAAACATCAAGCTATACCACCCCTCTCCTTCCTTTAAAACCCTACGCCCATCTCTTATTTCTTATCTCTTTACTTCCCCCTTTTTTCTTTATTCTCATATCATTTCTGGTGAGTTGACCAATTAAATAGGTCAATGTCTGATCCTTACCCCCCTCACCTCCTCGATATTAAGTATTGTAATAAAAATAAATTTTAAAACTCTCCCTTCCCTCTAAATTCAACCATGTCTCTCACACTATCCCTCTCCATCCTCTGCCACCTTATATAAGCTTAATACTGTGTAAATTTCAAAACTTTGAAAGTGTAAATTTTAAATTCATTTTTTTTACCTTTGAAAGTGAAGTCTGAAGATTCAGAAAATAAAAACTCTGAAATAAATTATAACTAAAGGAACCTTAAAGTGGTCTGTTTTTTTTTTTTTTAAATTAAAATTAAATATATATATATATATATATATATATATATATATATATATATATATATATATATATATATAAATGTGAAAAGTGAATATAAATATATATATATGTGAATATAAATATAAATAAATATATATATATGTATAATTATTTATATATTATATGCGCGGTACTTATTAGAAAGCTCAATATCAGAAATAAAGCGTGAAACCCAGGGTCACAAACTCACATCTATCCAACCAAATATATATATATATATATATATATATATATATATATATATATATAAAATGTAATTTCAATTGTTGGGTCTTGTGTCTAGGAAAGTTTGTTCAGAGTGTAGTCACCTTCTCACTGCTGTAGTAGCTTACTTGTACCTTCTCTATAAATACTTTCATGGTAATTGGTTAGTTGAGCTTTTCTCTATGGTATGTAAACTTTGATTTAATATCATCATTTTACAGTTGAAATGGTTAGATGTAACTGTAAGTTCTATGGTATGAATGTTTGTTAAATTTTCTGCAAAGATTTAATGTAAGATTCTTCATGTCATCTCTTGCAGATGTCCTGACAAAAACTGCACCCAAAAGGCATCCAGTGACCATGGCTGTCTTTGGATTACAGATGATTTTCAGCTTGGTGGCATTCACCTTTCTACAAAAGCTTTCACGTTACTATTCTTTTGGAAGGTGGATTTTGTCCAACCGCCTGGTGCGTTATTTGCACCCAACAAACGAAGAACTGAAAACTGCTGCTGGGATACCTTTGGGTGTTTCCGCTAGCACACGGGTCAAACACCGGCGTGAACATCGGCGTAACAACCAAGAAAAAATCCAGGCTGAATCCTTCACTGTCCCTCGGAACATTCCTATTACTCTTGAGACAGCCAAAGTGGAACCGAATGACTTGTTACCCCTCCATTATTTTGGAGAATTCCAGTGGTTAATGGATTTTTCTCTTTGTGCCCTCTTTGTTTATGTTAGTACTGAGATCTATTACGGCTTCTTTCTGCGTACTGAACCAAACATTAGTATTCTGTGGTGCCTCTTGGTACTTGGTTTCTGTTTCAGGGTCCTTTTTATGCAAACCTCGGTCTATTTCCAGACTGAAGATGGTGGTGAACGAATCTTGTGTATTACGTTTGGTTTTTTCTTCCTTGTTGCTGCAATGGGCGTGCTTGTTGTCAGCGAGAACAACCTTGAATTTGGCCTTGAACAGGGCTATAACAATTTTTCAAACAATGCTGTAGAGTTTCTGAAGCAGCAAGGAATTGCTTCTCATGGCCCTATAAGTCTGCTCACATTCAAAATCATTCTTGCCTTTGTTTGTGCTTTTCTTGGAGCATTTGTCACATTTCCTGGACTCCGTCTGGGTAAAATGCATGTGGATGCACTAAATTACAGCCAGGGTCAGCCTGTTATTCAGTCTCTGCTCTATATTAGCTTCAGCTATCCCATCTTCATCCTCCTACTTTGGGTTAAGCCGATGGCCCGGGATCTGATTTGTGGTCTGCATTGGCGATCTCCTGTACAGATTATGAGTGAGCCAGCATTTGAAACAGCAAGGTTTGTTGTCATCGGCGCTTTCTTTTTATTTCGGCTTGCACTGATGAAGACGTACCTTCAGTCGCATCTGAATCTTGCCCATGAGCGTATCGAAGTGATGCGGAAAGAAAGTGGCCGTATAAGCAACATAGATCTGCAGAAAAAAGTCGCTCGTGTTTTTTATTATTTGTGTTTTGTGGCTGTGCAGTATTTTGCACCAGTCCTCTTGATAATGTTTCTAACGTTCATGCTTAAAACGCTTGGCGATTACTCCTGGGAGAACATTCTCGGGGGCGGTTACCTCATGCGTTCACGTGTTCCCACTTCTAAATACAATATTTCTCGCAATACTGATACCATTGCTCAGGTGACCTGGGCCATAGCTAACATCCGAGGTATCTTTTCAGCCATGTGGTATCGGGGTTTGTTATCTTTTCTAAATTGGTGGATTATTGCAGCTTGGTTCACAACTTCTGTCTTTGGAACTGTCTACTACACCAAAACTTCTATATAAGAAATTGTTTCTAATAGTATTAAAAACTATCCAAGACTTAGTCTTACTTCAAGTGATGCCACAACAGAAATTGAACCTGTGATTATTATTATTATTTTATATATTATGACATTTTTCAGGATTTTGGCTTCAGGGATGAATTAGTTGTTGGTGCCAGTGTTCAAGCCCTGTTAAAAAGCCAAGATTTTGAATGCTGATTTTCAGAGAAAACAGGCAGGGCCTCTCCAAATACTGCAATCCAATCTCCCCATTCTATTTGGCCTTGTGTCAGACTGAGGTATGCATAGTGAATGTCTGTTGATAAAATTAAATTAACTCCGGATATACTTTCACTGCCTAATTGATTAAGTAATTGTAGATTGTTATTTTATTTCTTTTGTTAAGTACAATGAAATAACATTTGCAGAATTCTAACCAGAGTTTAATCTTGGATCTTAATATCCTTTATCTAACAAGATGTCCTGGGAAGGTATCTATATACTGTATTAATTTCTACCTTAATTGGAGTATAAATATGAAATAACAGCTGTTTTTATTTTTATCTCTTTTAAAAAAAATATATTCACATTTCAGCTGCTGTGAATATTCTCATACATGTTCACAACAAAACTTGCATTTTCTGCTGTTGATGAATATATATGGTTTTGAGATACTGTGAAATATCAGTTACTAGTGTCTATGTTACAAATTAACTAGTAATTTGTGCTATTTCTGAACTAGTGGACACATTATAGCAGCACAACTTTTGGAATCTATTTGTATTACATAGTGTGTTGGGGATGTTGTTTATCTTAGTTTGTACTGCAGAGCATCAGATCGAAACTAAAATGGCGGTACCCAGAAGGAAGAAATTACTGTTAGTGTTTTTTTTTTTTTTTTTTTTTTATAGTAATTTATTTTCAGTAAAAGGCAATTTCCTATTTTATTCCCCAAACAATCTAGCACTGCCAGACAACAATGTAGCAGTGAAAGTTAAAAAAAAACACCACCAGGACAGATTGGTCCCATTCAAAATACCTCCTGGAACAAAGCTGTTCCTTATGTTGAAATGAAACAGAATTAAAATTCTGCTTTTCTTTCTTGATACAATTTCCCTTCTAATATCATTCGTAATTATCCCTCCCATCTGCATTATTCAAAGTCTCAAACTTACGCAAGGGTAATTATTTGAATGCAATGACCTCAGCATGCCAATCCCAACTACTGTACTGATAACAACTGCTACACGCACATCTATTGCTTTTCCACCCCAGTTATGGGTTAAATATCAAGGCAGGCTGAGCTCTCTATCCTTGATTGATCACCAGTCTAAAGAGAAGGATAATTATGGATTTAAAAGCCAGTTAGGTATGGGGCTGGCAACTCCATTCTTTACACGGAACCCACAGCAACAAAACTTAATGTGGTGAGGCTTGTGACATATGACTAAGACACCTTTTTTTTTTTTCTCCTCGCCCACGCGTGTGTGTGTGTGTGTGTGTGTGTGTGTGTGATTACCTCACCTACTTATCTTTCCAAATTAGTCAAGCAATACTGACTAATTTCTGTGTGCTGAAAGGCTCAGTGAATGTTGTTTTTAAACTAACCTGCACTTTTCCATTTTTTTTAATACTAAATTGTTTTTAAGCACTGCAGAGTTTCCAAAACTTTAGTTTCTCTCCATTCAGATATATATCTTGTTTTTGGTTGATGTGTGTATGTGACCTTTCAGGGATACCAGTGTTAGAAATTTTCACTTTTCAAATGTTTTCTCCTGGGTCAGATACCTGACTTCATCTCATCACTGTGGAAATGGTTGGATAATTTTTTTGTTTTATAGAGAAAAAAAAACAGAAAACCTGTGTGGACCTCACTAAGATTTTCTCAATGTTTGCTTTTCTTTTTAAATAGGCATTTTTATTTTTAAAGAAATACTATCTTATATTTAGCACACTGTTGGCAGCTTTACTAACAAAACAATAGCAGGTTTTGGATTTTGCAGTTGTTCCCATGCCCTACTAGGGTAATAGTAAATATAACCAAAATCAAGAACAAGATTACCATAGGTAAAAAGAATGTCTTCAGTGCTAAAAGGATACATATATAAAGCTTAATTTATGGAAGGAAAATTGTTTTTTTTTTTTTTGTTTTTTTTTGTGTATTAAAAGAAATCTGAGGCAATTCTTATGAAAATAAAAAGCATTTAAAAATCACTTCACATAATCTCTAGAAAGTAATTTTTTTTTTTTTTTTTTACTGTCAATCTTACCAGGAAAATGTTTTCTCTTTCAACAGTTTCCATAAAATATTACCATTAAATTTTTGTTGGATGTACTTATTTGACATTTGTTTTCTATGACTTCTAAAAAGGTAGAAATGCCTGGAGGAGCTGTAAAGAAAGAAATAACTGCGTTTATGTACTTTTGTATTTTAAGTTTTTCTTTTTTTAAAAGAGGTAAAATAACTGATATTTAAAAAAAAAAAAAAAAAATATGTTAACCATGAAATGATTTCTGCAAATATCTCTATTGTGATGAGACAATTCATTCCCTTTACTCATCCTTGTAAACATACGGCACAATGTTGGTATAGTACAATGGTTGGCAACATTGTCTTGCAGAGTTTAATTTCATCCATATTGAGTGCTCAGCTGCTGTGCCCTTGTGTCAAACTTAGTTGACTATGTAGTAGAAGCCAAGAAATTTTTGATTTGTGTTTAACAAATATGTCGTAATTTCTTAAAATTGTCTTGATGCTGAAAATAATCACTCAGCTGATTATCATGTAGGAATTCTCAGTAAAGAATTAAAATCAAATTCACTAACAATAACCTGTGAGATCAGATTGAAAAGCTGTCTGTTGATCAATTCACGAACAAATCTAAACTATTTTTCTTTTTAGTTGTTGCCTCCAAAAAGGCATGTAGAAAATATATATAGTGTGGTGCATAATTATAAGGTCAGCTGAATTTTATCCTTAAACTTTATTAAGATAATTTTTTTAATATTTTGTATATTATTATATAGTATTAATAATCCAAAAGTTTGAAATAATTGTTATGAATAGAAAATCATTTATTGTAAAATTATTCAAAAACGATTGGTGCATAATTATAAGGCCATTTAAAGAAAAAAAAAAAAAACAAACACTGCCAGTTAAAATAATTTAAATCAACAATTGCTTAAAATTTTATAAATTATTAATAACTCACCAGCATTTGCACATAACAAAATTAACAATTTTGTACCCAAAGGCATAGTTTAAGTGGATTTGAAAAAGATGAAATAATTGCACTGAAAAATGAAAATTTGAGTAGTAGAGAAATTAACTTTTCATCAAACACTGAAGAATATGGAGCCAGAAGAAGAAAGAAATTAAGTGACAGGGATGTCAGCGTGATCAAAAAAAGAAGCAAACAATGGTGTCCCACGATCTAGGCAACTTTGGAATTGGATATTTCATGCTGCATGGTTTGGAGAGATTGTCTGGCTTCAGTTATAGCAAACTTATGAACACTCAATATTTGACCAAGCACCGTGAAGGTGTGGCATTTTCTGATGAAAAAAAAAAAAATTTTTAATTTGGATGGGTCATCTTATTGGCATGACCTTAGAAAGGAGAAGTTGGTCATTTCCAAGCATGTCCAAGGAGGAGGGAGGGTTATAATTTGGGTGGCATTTGGATTCAAAGGCAAAACTCCAATTGTTTTCATTCACACTTGTTGCTTTGGGTTATCAGAATTTGTTGTCTACTGCTCTCTTGCCTTATAGGGAAAAGAAAACAAACAATACTAATTTCTATAAATTTTTAGTGTTTGTCACTCTTGTAATAAAAATTATTTAATGACCTTATAATTATGCACCAAACATTTGAGATTTTAATAATTTTACAACTGATTTTCTACTTAGTAATTATTTCAAACCTTCAGATTAATACTATACAATAATATACAAAAAAAAAAAATTTATCTCAATCGCTAAAGTTTAAAGATAAGATTCATCTGGCCTTACATGTGCATAAATGAAAAGGAGACCAAACAATTAAAAAAATAAAGGTTAGCCTACAAAAACTCTGAAGTCAAGATGCTGGATATCAGTCAGCCAAGTGACATATTTTGAAAGTAAAATTATGGTTTGAATAGAAGTTCTGACAAGATTTATTTGTGTGTCATCTCTTATTATATAATCCGTTTTAAGAAAAAGTTGATGTATAGACAGATCTATCTAGAATAAGAGTGTAGTATATCTGTGCTCTATGAAAAGTCTTGCACATACACAGTAATGAAAAGTTCTAAGCCTGACCAAGTTTATGTACGTATAGTTTTTTAACTATTGAAGATAAGAAAAGAGGATAAACTATTTAGTAATGTCAACTACACAAAAGTTAAGCCTATCAAGTGTTTGTTCTTTTGGGTTCATAACTTAGTTCTTCCATTATCCAAAAATTATTTTAGTACCTTTTAACAGCGTGTAATTTTTGTGAGGAAGTTTACTTGCTACTTTCTTTTGGTGATTTGAGAGTTGCACTGAGTGACCACAAAGCAAGAACAAGTAACTAAAATAAATTTTTTTTTTTTTTTGAACTCAGTTATGGAAATCAAACCAAATATTTTCTATATAGTGTTAATGAGCTAAACTTTAAATACCTGTACATCAGACAATTTGAAATAACATTAAAAAAAACAAACCTTGTTAAACAAATAGTTGTTACCTAAAAACATTTTTTCCATTGGGTTAGACTTTTGCAAAATAGTTTGTCAGACCACAATTTTTTTTTTTTTTTAGGTAAATGTCATATCTTAAACTAAGTAGGTAGCTATTGTCAATGGCTGACATTTGAAATCCAAGTAACATTAAATTTTGACATTTATTCAGACTATTGTCCTCATCTTTGTCGCCATATTTATCATCCTTGAGGACACATGGCACAGTGGATAAAGGCGTTGGTTAGATCCAGTGACAGGACCCAAAGAGTGTGAGTTCAATACCCGGTTATGCAGTGGAGAGCTTTCAGAGGGAAATTAGCAGGAGATAACTGATATCCATCAAACATGACACGTGGAACTAGAACAGTCTACCCCAGTGAGCAAAATAAAGGGTTCAGTTCGAAATTCCAACCACCTGAAGAAGGCTGGAGTGTACAACGGCAAAAACGTTGTGATAAATATGGTGACAAAGATGAGGACAATAGCCCGAGTAATGTACATAATACCCCATCTCAGAAATATAGACAGATTAAATTTTGAATTGATTTTTTCTTAGTCTCTGTCCTGGTATAAAGTCCTGCAAAAAAATACATACCCTAAAGAAAATTTTTATTGCATGTTTGCAAAAAAAAAAAAAAAATGGGGGGGGGGTATGAGTCACAGAGTTGTCAAATGGGCCTGAAAATCCTGATTTTTCAAAATTCTTAATGATCTCTGTTGTAAAAAAAAAGTTTGCGATATAAGCAATGTTTCAAAGCGTGTGAAATGCTAACCCAAATTCAATAGAGATTACCTGGGATAATGCCTCTCAGATTTTGCATAAGATATAAAATAAGAGATATCAGCTGTAATGGAAAGAACTAGCATTCATGTATGTTGCTTACACCCATGGCAATTTGTTAAAAAAGAACTGTAAAGGTAACCTTGATTAGACTATCCACACAGAGAATCTCAAAACGGACAAATTTTAGAATCCTTGATTTCCTTGACAATGATATCAATTTTTGAAATTTTATTTTAATCAGTCATATTGGTGGTGGGTTGATATTCTGCCATTTTGAAAAATCACGATTTTTAGTGTAAATTGATAATGTACCAACATTTTTCTTGGAACTTCTAGAGTCACATTAGAAATTTCTTTGAGGCATGAAATTTTTACAGGACTTTAGGCCAGATCTTATTCAATTCCCAAAACATTGCAAGTCGTGAAATTCAAAATTTAATTGCAGTAGGTTTTCTAAAGTATCCCAAAATTTATTGGGAGAAAAAAAACAGAAAATGCCATTTTATTTTCTATTAATTTTTAATTTTCTATGAATCAACAAAGTCTCTTTGTTTCCATATTTCTCACAGAAAATCCAAAGCAGTTGGAAACATTCAAAAGTTTTATCCTCTCCATGTCTTGGTCGGATTATACATCTGCCAAATCTTATCTTTCCTTGCAACTGAATCATTTACAAAATGAACATGGTTATCACATGATTTTGAATTCAACAAACCTTTTCAATATTTCCCATTGCTTGGGATGGTGAGTTTAAAATGATTCCTCTTAAAGACTTTGATTAAAGCTCCATTCTTTGACAAAGTTTTGTTTGAGGGATTTTTCTTTTTAAAGGGAAAGAATGCAGAAATTATGGTTAATGCCCTTAAATTATTAAAGGTTAAAAAAAAAAACAAAACAAAAAAAACTGTTTTCACCTGTGTGTCCTGAAGACACACTGCCAATAAATTTAAGTCTTAGAAACTAAACAAATATATAAAGAAAATCAAATTGTAGGTGTAATCTTCAAAACCTGTAAAGTTTAAAACTTATATATTGAGGTAGTCTCCTTACTCATGGAGGAAGGAAGTGTATCACATTATGTGACAATATTGACAAAAATGAAAAATTTAGTTGTTATTTTAAAAAAAATTTCTGTCAATTAAGATTATTCCTTAATTTTTTTTTTATTTATCTAGCTCTAAAAAAAGAAAAAAAAAAAAAACAACACACCCTGAACAAATCTGAATTATGAATAGGGAAAAAAAAAAAAAAAAAAAAAAATCCATTTTTTCGAATAAGCTAAAGCAGAAATTCAAATGTGTGAATTAGTTTTTTTTTTTTGTTCACAGCTCCAAAGTCTCATCAAAAGCAATTATACCAACAGAAGGAAATTCATATTAGAGCTATGCCACTCTAAACTTTTGTTGCCGACAATTTTTATCCTGAAGACATGACTTGTGTGCATGTGTTTTTTTTTGTTTTTTTTTTCTTTAGGTTGTAGATTTTTAATAAAACAACATCTTACTTGAACAGGTTTAGTGATTAAAATATAATTTAAGGACTAGAGAGAGAGAGAGGAAAAAAAAAAAAGGCCCCAAAATAAGAGATGTCAGCAGCAACTAGCATTCACGTACGTTGCTTACATCCATGGCAATTTGTTAAAAAAGAAAACTCTGTCAAAGTAACCTTGATTAGACTTTCAATCTATTTGTATAGCAAAGAAATATTTTTATTTTACTGAAATGCATTTTTCAGAAGGCAGCATTTTAATGCAGAGCTGCAGAAGTGGCCAAAATTATCCCCTGCCAAAGGTCAGAGCAGCTAAGAACACGTAGAACTTAATGGTTGGGACTGAATGAACAGCTTTTCTTTTGTAATTGGCACTTAAAAAAAAAAGTTCATAATATGAGAAAATATGTCTTTCAGCTGGTTCTCTCCAAAAGGAGTTACTTTTCACAAAGACTAAGATGCAGCAAATAAATTCTTTTTGCTACATTTTAAAGAATTGCAGAAGAGTTAGTCAAAAAAAAAAAAAAAAAAAATAAAAAAAATTTGCAAAACTGATCTGTCATTATTTTGCATCTATGAACAAATAGATTCAGCTTTTGACGTGCATAGATTTGGGGAAAAGAAATTCCTAATGCATCAATTTAAATAGATATTTGGACCATTAACACCAGTTTCTCTTGAATGATACATTTAAACCCAAGTTTGGATTGTGAGATTCTAGATTAAAAAGATGAAATCCTGGAAAATGTGCAGGCATGAAACCAAACTCAACTGTTATATGTAGGAAGGCCCAATTATACAACTGTACTAGCTTTGTAACAAAACAAAAAAAAAAAAAAAAAAAAAAAGTAAAAAATCAGTTTGGTGAGCATCAGTGGCATGGTTTTTCCTTTTCTGAAACATGAAAATTACAAATAAGACAAATGTCATTAAAGGACAAATCAATGAGAGTTCATATCTTCAGGCCGTATAATTCCGATAGTTTGCTTGTATGGTCATAGGCATGGATGTTGATCAGCAGTTTACCAATCAGGCGGATCTGTTCCCTGGGGAGGGGAAAAAAAAGAAAAAGAAACCGAATTGAGCATCTGAACCAAACACAGAAAGATTCATTTTATTAAATGCTGCAATCTAAACCTACAGAGGTTATTAATTAACATGAATTTGTGTGTGCATGGAGATAACAAAACAAAGTGGAAAAGTAATTGAACTACATACCTCTCTAGCCTTATAGTAGGTGTCCTAAGACTGGAATGAGAAGAAACGGTGGGTTGGGGTTTAATTCTTCACAGAAATACCATAAAACAATCTGTTAATGTTCTGCTTCACTTAAACAATATGAAATAAACTGTCATTTTATATCTTAAATGTTTTTTCATCATAAATACCACTCTAGCCAATGGTACCCTGGACATTGGATATTCATTTGGTGGCATCAGGCAGGGTTTATGAAAGTGTTTTTTTTTAGGCAAACATTTACTATTGTGACTATCATCCAGTTCATACTCCTCAGTCTTTTAAACAGGTTTGTTCCTTGTTTAGGATTGGGTTTCCGGTTCCGTCTAAAGTCTACTTCAACTCTATACTTCTAATGCTGGCCCTTTTTTATTCTAATATAACTCCACACAGTAACCCCCCATCTTGAGTGGCTCTTGGGCCTTGTATTGGGTGAACATTAGTTAAAAAAAAAAAAAAAAAGTTAAGGTTCCAGATTGACGAGCAGAGACTCTGAAAGGGGCGAGTGTGCTATATATTCAAGGCCAGAAGCCATATTGTTTCAGATGGCTGTCTGTCTGATGCTGGAATCGAGAGAATTCAACCACAGTGTCATCATTCCTCAGCAGCATTTTGTGGATCCTGCAGTAAAAGAGCAATCCCGTGTTTTCAGCATTTATTTGCTGCTTAGTCCACCATTAGCTGTTGTAATAATGTTTAAATATAATAAACGTATATACCTTGGTATTATTGACTTTGCACTACTTAAGTGAAGGATTACTGAAAAGAGGTGTCGTAATATGGAGAAGAGGTAAAAAAAAAAAAAAAAAAAAAAAAAAGAAATTCCTTAAAACATTGCAGCTATTGAATTTTCTTTGTTTATACTGAAGCTGTTTATGTCTGCTTGATTTGAAATTTAGCCTATCCCAAGAAGAGCCAAGAATTTTTTTGTGATGAGGGAGGATATTGTACACAAGTTCAGTCTTAAGATTGAACAGGAGAAATAAGATTAGAACACTTTCAATGCATTTTCTTCTAAATAAATTCTTTTCTGTTTTAAACAGTTTGGCCCTTTTTTATGTAAAGTTTTGGCCATGTCTTATGGTGAGAACTAATTCATTTAAACACTATGTCTACTATAAAGAGGTTTAGTTGAATAGCTTTTCCACCATCTTAATAGATTCACTATTGTTTAGATATTATCCTACATCCTACTAACATTATATATATATATATATATAATTTAAATGACAGAACTAATGTTCAATAACTGGGATAGAGCCATTATAAAATAAAATATAGAACAAGTTTTAAAATCTTCATTTTACAGCCGCTTTCATATTAATATCAGTTTCATGATGTAAACATCAATTGTCAGATACTCAAACAGATAATTAATTGTTCATTAAATAATTTGTAAGGTAGCAGCAGTAATAGTCATAGTTGACACATAACAGCACCTTTCATAAAGTAATGGTTAACAAACTTATAAACCACTGAGTACTCCATTATTGTGGCTTTGTGCAGAAAGAGACATTGATTAATCTTAGTGTCGCCCAACACAAGAGTATAAAAGAAATTCAGTAAGAAACAAAGTCTATTATAAAAAGGAGATTATCTTGCGATATATGCAGGGCCTGATTCTCCTTTTAGGCTAGTATAGGTTGCAGCCTATGGCCCCTCAAGTTTTTATAAAGCAGTGATTTTCATTTTCTGCATGTTAAACTTCTAAATAGTTTCATAAACTGAAATGATATCAGTATGACAAACTGTTCTGGCTTTGATAACTAATCTTTTTTTTTTTGTTTCCAAAAATAAAATCATTGAAAAATTATTTCCCTTACTTTATTTCTTTTTCCTTTGAGCTATTTCTATTTTTCCAGAGGTTGTCTGCAGCATACATCAAAAACCGACAAAAGTTTTCAAGGAGAGGAATTGTTTTGTCACCTTCCACATCTACAAACCACTGTTTGGGGAAACTTGAGGCAATCTGAAATAATAAGAATAATAAATGAAAAGAAAAATCAGTGTAAGGAAGAATCGCCTTTTCAGTTTTGCACATTTAAATATTTTCACCAATTAACAAACTTTTCTTGAAAGATACATTTAAATATCAGCTGTGAATCTAATGTGTCAGATTCTAGGGTAAAACAGAAGTGTGCAGGCAAGAAACTGAATTGGTGATAAGTCCATTCATAATGAGAGAATTATTCAGTTTTTACTATTCGTCTTGTTTTTCTTTTAGTACTGCTAACTTATTGCTAGTTTTTGTTTTCATCAAGTCTATATTACCTGACCCAGGGATTGAACATGTAATTACTTTCACCAAATATACAAGCCAATTCAAAGTTATTTCTCACAGAAGGAAATGGTAATATTAGCTGCTTTCTTATGAGGAAACATTCAGCATTCACTGAGTGAGAACAATCTACAGCAATGTAGATTAAATAAAGAGTTTAGTTTGAAATTCTTTGAAGGTTACCTATACTGACAGATACCTAAAGAAGGTCAGAGGGCATAATGGCTGAAATGTGATAATGAAGATATTACACCAACTGCAAATAATTTAGAGATGAAGACAAATTGTCATTTTGTTTGGTTGTAGACAGCTTATTTGCTTACTCCATGAATTAACAGTAGATTAAATGATCTTGAGACTTTGTTGTTTGAAGTGTTCAAGGGATTTATTATTGTAAGTAGATATTGTGTTGATGGTAGGAAAGTATTTAATTCAATAATAATAATAAAGAGTTTTTCAAATACAAATGGCTGCTCCTTTACAGTGATTGTGGCTCTCCTAAGATGACTTCTCTAAAATAGATGCTTTTGTATGTTTAAAGGTCTAAAACATGTTTCTTTCCAGGGCTCCCACAGATATGTGTAAAAAAAAAAAAAAAAAAAAAAAAAAAAAAAAAAAAAAAAAGAGTTTCAGGATATTTCAAGGACAATGTTAAGAAATTTCAAGGACTGAAACTGGCGTACACACACACACACACACAAAGTGAATGGTGATTGAAAAACAGAAAATTGATGATTTATCTTTTAACAGTTTGACAGATGAGATGATCAAAGAAAAGCTACAGCTGGTTCCAATAATTCATGTCACATGGATCAATTGAAAGCAGTGATGAAATCCAAGTGTGGAAGGCTAAAACACAACTGAATGCAGATCTGGTTATGTTACACAATTTGTGTAGCATTCTACACAGTTTAGAGTTCTACTACGCTTAAAAACTGAATTATACACTTTAATTTTTACTGTTACACATTTTCTATGAATTATAATTGTTTTAATGAACAAAACTACAAATGGAAATTTTCAAAAAAAAGATGACACATTTGGCTTGTGAATCTGGAACCTCAACTTTTTTTTTTAAAACTAATATTCACTATTATTCATGGCGTTTTTTGCATATGGCACAGAACCCAATGATGTTACCATTTTTTCAATTCATCTAGTTTAGCATTCAACTCTTCTTCCAATTTTGATATCTCTATGGATTTGTCCTTTGCAGATCTTCGCATGGCATTGGACTTTGCAATAAGCATGAAGTTCTCAGTCTGCTCAGCTTTCTTCACTTATCTGTCAGCTGAGTTGAGCAAATCTTGTGTGTAACTTTCAAGCTTGTGTTTTTTTGGTCTTCAGTTCTTCAATTTCCGTAAGCATGGATTTCCATTTTTGTCCAACTGCTTCCTGCCTTTTTTTCTTCAAGTGTCAAGATATTAGTTGTATGCTGCTCTGGCATTGGAAGCAATGCAGAAAAGAGCCTTAGTCATGGGAATATTCCCAGGACCTCCAACTGTGGCCAAATTGTCCATGATAATGTTCTCTGCGATTAGCGTCTGCTGTTTCATACTGTCAGTGGAAATTTCCTTATTGACTGAGAAACCTTTCCCCAATGAGGCCTGTTCATGAGAGAGTACCAGCAATCTGTGAACAACTTTTCACAGTTTTTGATATTCTTTGTTGCTAGACATAGAAGAGAAGAACAAAGTGTCCAGATGGTCTTCATACTTGCTGAAATTCTTGAAAGCAATATTTCCAGTGACCTCCTCCTTCTCAAACCCTTTGTACTGACTGATGATGTTATAATAATCAAAATTGCTAACTAAACTTCTATTCATTATGTGGGAGAGACCTTATAAGAGGGTGTGCCAGAAGTTTCTCAATGATGATGAACATTGTCTTTGTTGAAATTCTGCATGCAAACAGATCTTTTGTTGACACATTTCCTTTTTTGGATAAATTTTGCATAGTCCCTTATTTGCCAGAAATTCACACTTGATCTTTGTAGCATCTTTATGCTTGTTTGGGTTTGAGAAAATTCTTACAGATTCATTCAAGCTGGAAAATGTAATTATCTTTTTTAGTGTGCTCTTCCTTTACAAATCTTAAGTTTCATGATCATGTGAAAAAGATCATCTGCAAGAAAACAAAGCAATGGTTTATTGCTCTGATATTTTATCAGAAATGATTCAATGTCTTTCGAAACAGACACAAAAATCTATTTCACTGAATATAAAACATCATTCACATTTGACAGCACTGCAGAGAAGGGCTTGGTCTAGGGACATCCTCTGTTTCAAATTTGATGACATCTGGGCAAATGTCTAGGAGTTGTTCACATGTTTGTACATTTTCTAGCAATCTATGGCAGAAACTTCCAGGACTTTTCAAGGGACAGGGTTGACAGATTGAACTTTTAATATAAAAGTCAAATACATTTTAATATATTTCATCATTTTTTCACACTTACAACAAAAGCTAGAGATACACGTCATTATTAGCCTGCAAACTTTAGAAATAACATTCTTCTTATTTTTCCAAAGACACATTTTCTATCCTAAGACAAATCAAAGGCACATTTTCTATTCTATCATCCATCCAGTCTTCACTTTGACTCAAATTTGATCCTCAAACCTGTTACTTTTGGCAATTTAGACAAATGTAGTTTACACATAGATACACATTGACATGCAACGTGTAAAGCACCTATTTTTTCAGCATGAACTCACCCACCGAATCAAGTAATCAAAAGGACTTTTTACTTTTGAAATTGACATGTGAATAAAATTTCTTTAAGTGTTCCAATTTAAGAAAAACAAAAAAAACACTGATAAATTTTTTGAGATTCTGCTAAAATGTATTTTATTACTGTAAAATAATTTATTATTATTTTCCTTTCAACTACAAATTCAATGAATGTGAATTACTTCATCTTTGACGGAGATGTTTACTTGTCCCTGATGCCTTTTAGCTTTGCTTTTCCTCTTTTCTTGCTAAGTGAGGGTAGAAGCTAGGAGAAGACGTGCCTTCATATTCTCCCTTTCTTTCTCATCACTTAGACAAGAAAGTACAGAAGTAACTACAAGGTCATGGACTTGTTCTAATCAAGGAAACAAATCACTGTTCGCAATAATTGACAAATATTACTGAAGAATAAAAAAAAAAAAAAAAATTTCTTATAAGACAGTTTTAGCCAGATTTCTGGGATTTGGCATTTTGACTTTCATGAATTAAGAAAAGGAATGTGTAGGCAGCCCTATTAGAAAATTCCAGGACTTTTCAAGGAGCTTTTGGGCTGTTACTGTTTTTCCAG